TATATGCATGCAAGGTCAAAAAACACGTTAGTTTTCTCAAAAAATTTATTTAATTTTACCTAATTTCTAAATGATTCGTAAACGACTTGTGTGAAGCAGTTCAAAGAATCAGTCTCTCTAAACCCCTCCTTTCCGTGAGCCCTCACTGCTGTGATTGGTCAGATGGCGCAGTCCTTTGTGATTGGTCCAGAGCCGTAGAGAGATTGGCTCTGGATTGGTCTACCGCGTACAGCGCGTGTCGGAAAAGAAACACCCATTGCCATGACTGAATGACAGCCCTGGAGACTTGTCAATACAAGATGGTATCGATTGTACCTTACCAATTCGAGCCGGAGTCTGATGATGAAACGGTTGAACTGGCTGATCGACAAGAGACTGATTCGCAAGCACGACTGGAGCAGGACGTTTCTCAGTGGTAAGTGTCAAGTGTTAACAAGTTTGTGGTAATTATAAGATGTGATCAATCAAATTTACTCACAGCGTAGGATACAGTGTCTTCTCAACATGATGTTAACCACATGGAAATTTTACTGTTTGTGGGCGGGCAAGTCGGCGACATAGAACATGGGCGGACATTATGCAAATGTGTTACTTTGTGACGTAGAGCCGTAACAGAATAAGATTCGAATTCCTGACGACTCGTTTAGGCGATTGCGAGCCGACTCTTTTTTTTGATAGACAATAACTTTATTTATTGTGCACTGTCGGCTTCACAACTTTGCAGATAGTTTATGTTCACATACAGCTACATGACACACTGCATGAAAGGTAATAATCGAAAAGGCATAATAGGGGCACTTTAAGATGAGGCTTAGCAATAATTAACAAATTGATCCTATGTACAATTTACTGACGACATACCGTTTACTCAAACCCAGTCAAAACTGTGATGTCTTCAGACATAGCAGGTGCATGTGCAGACACTCTGAAAACATGACTCATTCATTTGAATGTTTGATTATGAGGCTGTTTGCTTTATTTCTCTCTGATTAGATGACAGCAGCAGTACATTAGGTCTTTTTCTCTGACACAGTATCTATTGCCTTTCCTCCACTGTCTTTTCTCAAGGGGCACTTGCGTTCATTTTCTCTACACAACTTTCCCAGTAGGTCACCAGTCGATTATCCTTGTTGGCACAAAAGTCTGTGAAATCTCGCAGCAGGCGGTCAGCCAGTTTCTCATCCCCCAGCACGCCAGTCCTCCAGGCTTTGGTCAGCATGGTGTTGTAGGCCCAATTGTAGCCAACTCGCTCCTCAGAACCAAACAGGTTCTGATTGGCGGAGGTAGCGGAGTTGCGGCGCCGCCGCTGTCCACTGGAGTATTTCCTTTTTGAGTAAGGCAGCTGAAGAAAAACTGTACCTGGATAAAGAGATAAACATTTCCAAGTGATAGCGATAGAGCAAGACGAAGAGATGGACAAAAGTAAAAAAGCAGAGCTAGTATAGTATATATCATTCATAAAAGCGTATACCTGTTACATGGATGTATTGAGGTTTGTTCTCTGATGGAAAGTTAAAAGCTGATGCTGAGAACTTGTCTTGAACAAAGCCAAATCTTCAACAACAAAAAAGGAATTTGTTTTAATGAGGAAAAACACAGGACCATTACACCTTGATAAATAGGTACTAGAAGTAAACTAGATGGACTCAAGTGTGTTCAAATCACCAACCCTAAGTTTGAGAAATAAAATATTCTATGCTCTCTTTACCTGGACAGTATGGCCTCCTGAAACAACTGCATTCTGTCCCAGTATGTCTCTGGTTCAAACCCTAAACAAGTAAAGCAGTGCGATAATGGAGGATATCATACTTTTACTTAACATAAAAAGACAAAGGCAGTTCCACAAGATATTGTGACAAATTTTGTGAAAGAATCCATCCAAGATGGTGGATGAAGGAGAAAAATGTTATATGTAAATAAATATATTCAAAGGTCATTAGATACCAAAACAGACTATTTACCTAATATTTGTGCTCTGAGTATCTAGGATATTACAGTGTTAGCTTAGCAATGTGCAAACACCAAACAGAGCCAATGTATTCACTAAATTTGTGGATTTTCAGACTTCTACAACCATTACACCGTTCAATCTGTTACTTTGTCCTCACCCTCAAACAGGTTATCACAGCCCTCCTTTAGCAGGCACTGGATATTTAAGGGGATAAACAATTGAGCACGGAGAGGGTCACCATACAGGTACGATGACAAAGCAAAGGGCACCTCCAACACAGGTACAAGCAGGAATCCACAAGATGCCGCCTTTCTGTGCCAGCCTTGCACCTGAAAAAGAAGAGTCCAGTGCTACAGGACTATGTCTCAACCTTAGATGTTATGTTTGCACCCTTAGTTCATAGAAGTTAACTACATGTATCTGGCTGACTATGCTTGATGGTCCTCGATAGTATTAAAAATGTCATCCAGCACCTCGTCACTTCATTCAGGATTTTTGAAACTATGCTCATCCTATGCTTACCATTTCAAAGAGTACGGCTAGTCCTCGATAGTATTAAAAATGTCATCCAGCACCTCGTCACTTCATTCAGGATTTCTGAAACTATGCTCATCCTATGCTTACCATTTCAAAGAGTACGGCTGCAGTAACAGCCATCCAGTGTAGCTTGATTTCAAAGGCAGCGCTGAGGGAGAAGTTGCCATGGTAATAGCAACTGCACCATTCAGTTCGATCACTGCGATTGTTCACATCAACGTCCAAGGTGACTGTTTTCTGCTCTGGAACCGTGGCAGCTGAGAGAGAAGGGGCAAAAACAAAGCGAGAAAGACAGAGAGAGAAGAAATTGCCAAAAGGATGAAATGAAAAAGAGGTCAGGCATAGCGTTATTAAGACCTTTAATGAATCAATGGAGAGTAATTGCGATAAAAGAGTTTATGGCAGTTAGTGTTCATGACATCTGAAACAAAAATCATTTCATGCAGTGTATTAAGGGCAAGTAAGATGTATGAAGCTTCTATGGGAGGAAAACACTGAAAGCTGAGTGCACTGGTGCAATAAGCAAAGTCAGAAAGGCAATGGGTTGGCAGAAAAGCTTTGCTCAGGTTTGGGAACAATGCAGGAATATCATTAATCCGGAACAGGACAGATGGAGGAGAGCAGGAAGAACCCATACCACAGCACTACTGGACCACAGCCAATACTTCACCACAGCATGCACTACTGGTGTACAAGACATCATTATAGCCCACCCAACACAGCGCTTTGATTGGTGTATTGGGGCATCAGTCCATGCTCTGATTGGAACAGCTTGCAAAGCAATTTGTGCCCTGACTGGGAAGAATACATGTAAACCATGCCATTTGGAGAGTGTATGTACCGTCATAGGTCACACCAATTGATGGCTAATGGCAGAATTGCAAACACTGTCTAGATCAGTTAGAAAGAGAATCTTGATGTCATCAACATGATTTGGGCATTGTGGGAATGAACAGGATGAACTAAAGGTGGACTACTTATCTACAACAGCATGCAATCCCGGAATGGAGAAGAGTCACACAAAGTCAGATGATTAGACTTGCATCAGTAAAATTTCTTGATGAAAGTGGTTGGATCAAAAGCTTAGCTTGATGTTTTCTGAGAAGAATTTAGTGTGGCATACAGCCATTCAGTGATGTTGTTGATCTTTATATGTTAGTTGAGTTGTGGAAGTTTCCAAGTGCACATTGATGTAGGGTTGACTAGTAGATGGCATAGATGGTATCTGAATGCTTTAGTAATATGCAAAGAAATGATTCGACTTTGTGTGACTCATTCACTCAACTAGTCTTCCAGAACTTTCGGGGGAGGGAGTGTGGCGCACTGCCTTAAGGTGCGGAGCATGGCTGCTCTGGGGTCAGAGCCGGCTGTGTGTACCTAGCAGTGCAGCAGCTTGGCTGCGTCCTCCGAAGCTGCGGCTGAAGGAGCTTTGCCTACTTGCATACGAGGCTGGCCGGCTGGGCAACCAGGGCAGCAGGAAGGCAGGTAAGTCACAAGGCCGACGTTCCTCCATAACAAAGGCCACCTCAAACCACTTCCTCTGAAACAGGGCAAAGTCCTCCATAGCTGTTGCAGACCATACATTGGCTCCCGCTGGGGGCAGCTGAGTCGTAGGAGCTGCAGGGAATAGAGCTCTGTTTTCATGAAGGGTAGAAGCACCAAGACACAGTCGTAATAACAATGGGATTGCGGACAGTGATGCTCACAGGATCTGCAACCTGAACACTGATATCAATTAAAATCACTGGAGGTTGTAGTATCGCTGTGCTCTTGGTTTCTAGTAGGCGATCCTTCTCTGCTGCAGTATCCAACTGTATGAGGTGGCAGGTCACTACGGATCACTGTGGATCACTGTCTTGTGTACACCGGATATTGCAACTTCTCATTGAAAATGAATGAAGTCCAGTTGCTTTGCAAATCACTGTGAGTGTGAATCTCCCTTGATACAGTTGGATACAGTAGGAACGGCTAGCAGCAACCTACTCTGCAGAAACTTGGCAACCCCTAGCCAAGTAATCTTGACAGTCAAGTCAAGTCAATTCTTACCCTTTTCGTTGTCCTTGTCAACAATCCGGTAGAGGTAGAATCCATAAACAAACGTCCGCATGGCATCACCGGAGGCATGCATAATTAGACCTTCATCCAGCATTTTCTACAGGAGCGTCATGGAGATAGTCAAGATTTAAAATACAAACACAAGCCACTGTGACTTCTGCAATGTTCTCAATTTTACCTGCATGATTTCTACTGCAATTCCCTGTGTGGCAACATTCTCCACAGTGCTGACCAGCCAATGTACAACCTCAGCACTGACAAAGCAGTTGGGAGGCAGGCCCCTCTGCTCTGGCAAAAGCTGCACTCCAGTGCTGCAAGCACAGGAAGTCAATTTATATCACACATGGGTGACATAATAGAACACTAATAAATAATTAAGAATTAAAAGTCTCTCACGTGGGATGCTTAATGGCTTCCAGGATCTCCATTAGTGTGGAAGATGAGGAAAGACTCAATCCACTGGAGCCTGACTGCGCGCTGTGACGCGATATGAAAAAATTACTTTCTGATCTGAATATACGAAGCCATGTTCTGATAGTCAGAATAAGGTAAGGCATTCTCTTACCTAGTCTCTGCACCAGTGCCTAGGGTTTGGTCTCCTGTGGCTTGGGATGTAGCTGGTGTTCTCTCTCCTGGTTGGTTGCCTCCTTTGTCCGACAACCCACCCTCAATGTGATTTGCTGGAACCTGTTCAGCTGGCAGCTGAGGAACCCAGTGCGAATGTGTCAGATACAACATTAGAAATGCAGTGCTCCTTTACACCTTCATGCACAGGAACTCTCACATTTGAAGCTATAAATCTCCATGCAAACAAGTCTAAAAGCAGCACTACATAGGACTGACAAGGGGTGCAAAATATTGAAATATGTTCATGCTATCTGCATCCGTTGGCTAGCAGGAATGCATCTTACATAGACAATATCTGGTACTTGTCTACACAAATTTTCTACCAATTTATTTGATGTTGTCTTCATAATCTCTCTTCATAAACCACTTTGACATTATTTAAATGATTTACCAATTTATTGCAAGCTTGTCCATTACTGTGGTATCATAAATGTTATATATACCTGCGGCTAAATGTTACGTATTAAAAGAAAAATCCAAATATGAAGACTCGCTTTACTTGTTGGTCAGATGGCCTCTTCCCATCTGCTCCTGGCCAGAATTAGCTGCAATGTGGAACAGTTACTGTATGCCGCTAGACAAAAATCTGGCTATGTGAGATTAGCAGTACTCTAAATGAGCTCAGGATGTGCAGTGAGATTGAATGAAAAGTGCACATGCATTCTTATTGGCCAACAGGAGTGATGCAGTCTAACACTACAGCAGAACTCATAGTGGTTAAGATGTTAAATGAAGTGAATCTAATATTGCTTTTACATTTTATGTTATATTGAGTATGGGTACACAGACAAACAGGAATGACTCTTCATTACCACTCTGACTACAAAAACACCAGATAACACCAGATGAACAACAACCTTCACATTTTAATGCCAGTAAGAGGTTTGTCAAGTACGCAGGCATGCACACATGATTTATATGCACACACGCACATTGCGAGAGACAGACGGCTCTCACAGAGCAGAGAGAGGGCAGTGACTGACCTGAGAGTGACAGATGTAGGAGGAACGTGGACTACGAATAAAGTCCAAAATGAAGGCAGCATCCTGTCAGCATGTTAAGAGGAAAACACCAGAAAGAGAGAAAATAACCCCCAGGGAACAGAGCTAGAACAAGGCAGTAATGGAAGAGGAAGAGGCAAAGATCAAAAGAGGCAAGGAAGGAGCAAGAAAACATAAACCCACTGCAAATAATATCCATGATTTAATACTGAGACAAAAGGAAGACAAAAAAAAAAACTAAATGAAAAATAGGGCTGTCAATTGCTAAAAAAATGACACAATATGCAACTAATCACATATTAACCCCCCCCCCCAATATTACATTATTGTGCCATTTTTAAATAATTGCATTTTATACCAACTTTTACATTCTGTTACAAATACTGTGATCAGTCCTTAAACCAAGCAGACAAAGTTGAAAATTAGACAAAAATATCAATAAGCCAGCAAGCAATACACATTGTACAAATATAATAGCCCTCTTTCCCACTCAAAAAGCGCAAAGAGACACACAGGAAGCCAGGAACTAGACAACAGCACAGTCCGTTCGACAGTCTGCCTCGGGCTCTCACCTTACGGGGGCTATCGACATAGGTGGTTGTTAGGGCAACGCTGGCAGCTTCACTGAAAGGTCCACATGATTTCCCACCATGCTGAGCAGCAAGCTGCTGCTCTTCAAAACTCCTGCAGATCAAAGACATCTCACCAGCATTAGAAAAAAGCCTGGAATCTCTGGCATTTTATAAAACCCTTTCCATATGCGGCACTAGATAAAAGTCCAAATCTCATTGTTTCTGGCACGCACAATCGTTTCACATTGATGTAGCACTGCTGTATTTTATTTTGTTTGGTTTCCCGATATCTGCCTGCACAACTCACTTCTGTGTCTGATCCAGCTCCAGGAGTGCAGAGAGGGCAGAGGTGCCCTTTTTGCCCACAGGGGGTGCTATAGGCTCTGGATTGTAGGATGAGAGAGCTCCTGTCACCTGCAAGCCTTTAATGGTAGCTCCTTTCTGTAATAAACAGAGCAACTGTTATTGTATCACCATGGTGGGTGGTTTAATCCCTTTAATGACTCATTTGTGCTTATCCTGTTGCTGTGCACTCACACGGATAATTCGATCAGATCGGTGACGGCGACGAATCCTGTTCAGGCCTTCCAAAAAGCGGATAAATCCATCCAAAAGAGACCAGTCCCCAGTGCCATCCCGTCCTGCCCCCATTCCCTCCCCATACACGTCCCAGTGACCCTCACCATCCGCCACTCGCCTGGCTCCACCCGCTGGCAGCAGCAAGAAGCGTGTACGCCAGAACTTCAGAGAGTCAATAAGACTGGGGAAGAGAGAGGAATGGGTTTTTATGGGCATCTGCCTATGTAGATTTTTTCTCAGAGCCGTGGTGCTAGTAAAGCCACTTGCCTGAAGTCCTCTGAGCCGGCAGAGCAGATGTACTGGTCCAGGTAGTTCCATTTGTACTCCTCCAGCCGCTCGTGGCTGAACTCCACCCAAAATGGAAGGAAGTGGGCGTCTGCATGTGGAGGGCACAGATTGTAGCTGTACTGAATCTGTGTGGATTCATAGGGATACCTAAAGACACACAAAACATACTTTTGGGCATTTCTAGAAGAACAAATGACATAAATTGAAACCGAATGACTAAAAACATAAACTGACTTTGGGAGATAGCGGGTGACAGTAATGATCTTATCTTTAAGGCAGACTTTATGAAAGGTTCTTCCCATACTGAGCCAGTAAACACTCTCCTCCTCCTCTGGTTTACGTCGAGACACCAGCCCTGAAAAGCACACCTTTAAATCTCTCACCTGCATTACAATGGAGTGTGATTTATAACAAGAAGACAAGTCTATTTTTCAAATCCCAACTAGTATGCAGAGCTGTGGGGTGTCCAGTAGGGAATGTACCTCGGGAATAAAGGGGGCTGCTGCTGAGGGGCGGGGCTATAGCCGGCTGTGGCTTCTTGTTAGGCTGTACAATGATCTGGTAGCCTTGCATCAGTCGCTGACAGATGAACTCTTCAAACACCTGATGGGCCGTCATCACTGGGGACTCATCGTCACGCCTACAGATTTTAGATCGGACTTAGATCTTCAATATACATAAAATCTACAGTGGGTTCAAAAGTCTGAGAATACTTGAGAGAATTTAGCATTTTTCTAGCCAGACTCATTCTCAGTGCTTCATGGTAGTAGGCAGGTGCTAAAGTGTTCTTTTAGCGTAATTTTCTTGTTTCAGTTCTTGGATTGGTGGAGATTTCTTTGTAGAATCATGAGTAACAGTTTAACAGTAACAAATATGATTATTTAAATAGATGAAATAATGGGGGCTGATGGCTTTAACAAAAGCATATACCATTAACAACCTCGTAGCTCACAGTAGGTCTGTATTCGAGGTTTAAAGCTACAGTTAAAATCAATTGGTCTATGGAGAAAATGAATGACATTTTTACTCCTAGAAGCCAACTGTTGCACTCTACATCAGCCGATAGCCGATATATACACTGCCTGGCCAAAAAAGTCACTGACTGGATTTAAATAAGCAAATACTTAAGATTTTAGTATTGGCTCATTATTGCAGTGATTAATATGTTTTTGGCGTGTTATATGTTTGGCAACAATTCTTTTAACCCTAACTGATGTAGTGTGTAGCTTTTCACTTCTTAAACAACCATGTCAGAAGACGTACCCATGTACATATTCCAGGATGACAATGCCAAGATTAATCAGTCTCAAATTGTGAGATTGGCCACCACAGATTCCTGAGCTTAACCCCACAAGTTTTTGGGATGTGCTGGAGTTGACTTTACACTGCCTGTCCAAAAAAAAAATGCAGATCAAAGACATCTCACCAGCATTAGAAAAAAGCCTGGAATCTCTGGTATTTTATAAAAACCTTACCATATGCGGCACTAGATAAAAGTCTCAAAAAATCGCATTGTTCCTGGCATGCACAAACACTTGCTTCCCATTGATGTAGCACTGTGGTATTTTATTTTGTTTGGTTTGCCGATATCTGCCTGCACAACTCACTTCTGTGTCTGATCCAGCTCCAGGAGTGCAGAGAGGGCAGAGGTGCCCTTTTTGCCCACAGGGGGTGCTATAGGCTCTGGATTGTAGGATGAGAGAGCTCCTGTCACCTGCAAGCCTTTAATGGTAGCTCCTTTCTGTAATAAACAGAGCAATTGTTATTGTATCACCCTGATGAGTGGTTCTATCCCTTTAATGACTAATTTATGCTTATCCTGTTAGCTGTGCACTTACGCGGATAATTCGATCAGATCGGTGACGGCGACGAATCCTGTTCAGGCCTTCCAAAAAGCGGATAAATCCATCCAAAAGAGACCAGTCCCCAGTGCCATCCCGTCCTGCCCCCATTCCCTCCCCATACACGTCCCAGTGACCCTCACCATCCGCCACTCGCCTGGCTCCACCCGCTGGCAGCAGCAAGAAGCGTGTACGCCAGAACTTCAGAGAGTCAATAAGACTGGGGAAGAGAGAGGAATGGGTTTTTATGGGCATCTGCCTATGTAGATTTTTTCTCAGAGCCGTGGTGCTAGTAAAGCCACTTGCCTGAAGTCCTCTGAGCCGGCAGAGCAGATGTACTGGTCCAGGTAGTTCCATTTGTACTCCTCCAGCCGCTCGTGGCTGAACTCCACCCAAAATGGAAGGAAGTGGGCGTCTGCATGTGGAGGGCACAGATTGTAGCTGTACTGAATCTGTGTGGATTCATAGGGATACCTAAAGACACACAAAACATACTTTTGGGCATTTCTAGAAGAACAAATGACATAAATTGAAACCGAATGACTAAAAACATAAACTGACTTTGGGAGATAGCGGGTGACAGTAATGATCTTATCTTTAAGGCAGACTTTATGAAAGGTTCTTCCCATACTGAGCCAGTAAACACTCTCCTCCTCCTCTGGTTTACGTCGAGACACCAGCCCTGAAAAGCACACCTTTAAATCTCTCACCTGCATTACAATGGAGTGTGATTTATAACAAGAAGACAAGTCTATTTTTCAAATCCCAACTAGTATGCAGAGCTGTGGGGTGTCCAGTAGGGAATGTACCTCGGGAATAAAGGGGGCTGCTGCTGAGGGGCGGGGCTATAGCCGGCTGTGGCTTCTTGTTAGGCTGTACAATGATCTGGTAGCCTTGCATCAGTCGCTGACAGATGAACTCTTCAAACACCTGATGGGCCGTCATCACTGGGGACTCATCGTCACGCCTACAGATTTTAGATCGGACTTAGATCTTCAATATACATAAAATCTACAGTGGGTTCAAAAGTCTGAGAATACTTGAGAGAATTTAGCATTTTTCTAGCCAGACTCATTCTCAGTGCTTCATGGTAGTAGGCAGGTGCTAAAGTGTTCTTTTAGCGTAATTTTCTTGTTTCAGTTCTTGGATTGGTGGAGATTTCTTTGTAGAATCATGAGTAACAGTTTAACAGTAACAAATATGATTATTTAAATAGATGAAATAATGGGGGCTGATGGCTTTAACAAAAGCATATACCATTAACAACCTCGTAGCTCACAGTAGGTCTGTATTCGAGGTTTAAAGCTACAGTTAAAATCAATTGGTCTATGGAGAAAATGAATGACATTTTTACTCCTAGAAGCCAACTGTTGCACTCTACATCAGCCGATAGCCGATATATACACTGCCTGGCCAAAAAAGTCACTGACTGGATTTAAATAAGCAAATACTTAAGATTTTAGTATTGGCTCATTATTGCAGTGATTAATATGTTTTTGGCGTGTTATATGTTTGGCAACAATTCTTTTAACCCTAACTGATGTAGTGTGTAGCTTTTCACTTCTTAAACAACCATGTCAGAAGACGTACCCATGTACATATTCCAGGATGACAATGCCAAGATTAATCAGTCTCAAATTGTGAGATTGGCCACCACAGATTCCTGAGCTTAACCCCACAAGTTTTTGGGATGTGCTGGAGTTGACTTTACACTGCCTGTCCAAAAAAAAAAAGTCCCCCCCCCCCAAAAAAAACAAGCCTTTAGCTTTGATAACATTGTGCTTTCATTGTGGTACCATTTTGACAATGTCATGCAACATCCCCACAACATTTATTTCCATCAAATGTTGCATTAATTTTTGGGCCGAGATCTGGTATAAATTGAGATGTAGAAAAAGATATCTTGTATATCTTTTGTAGATCTTGAGTCAAACCACCCTATAAAATCGACTGCAGCACATCCTGACGACTTTCAAAAGGTTTAAGGTCAGGACTCTGTGGTGGCCAATTCATACAAGAAAATGATTCCTCCTGCTCACTGAACCACTATTTGACAAATCGAGCCTGGTGAATCTTGACATTGTCATCCTGGAATATCTACACGAGTATGTCTTCCAATATGGTCGTTTAAGAAATAAAAAGCTATGCACTATGTCAGTTAGGGTTGAAAGTATTGTTGCCAAACATATAACATGCCAGAAACATATTAATCATTGCAATAATGATCCAAGACTCTTCAGTATTTGCTTATTTAAATCCAAACAGTGACTTTTTCTTGGCCAAGCAGTGTATATAGTGCATACATATAGTACAAAAAATATGAAAGCCCTTTTTTGACCTTTACCACCCAATCCCTGTCTTTGTACCTCTCCAGGTCAGTGTGTGGCAGCAGGTCGTAGCAGCCCTCTGTGTAGTCATTCTGCAAGGTTTGGCGGTCGGGAAAGTAATCGGTCGTGAGGGGGAGACAGGCAGGAGTGGTGAGGGACTTCCAGTCCACCCCGACCGTGCAGCAAAAACTAGGCACTGTCGGAGGGGCAGATAGCAGCAGGACTTCAGGGGCACCCCCATCACACACACACAGCACCCCATAGCGCATGACACACGTACCACATGGACGCAACAGATCGCATTCATACACATTCACACGTCAGGCCCGATTGAAAATTAGCAGACAGATTGAGAGAGAAAGAGACAGAAGAGGAGAGGGTGAACAGTTTCAGGCAGACAGACACATACCAACACGCAGAACAAGGAGAAAGAGAATGTGGGAAAAGAAAAAGGAATGTGTTACCATCATTGTTGTAATTGAACTGAAATTACAGTGAACACTACGTGCAATATTAACATGCACTAAAGGCACTGTGAGCATCGTGACATCACTGATGAGTAATAAGTGTGAACTTCTGTACAAACACACGTTTGGCAGAAAAGACGACCAGTACTCATAGCATTCAGTCAAGGCATGCGTGAGAATCTGAGTGCGGCAGTGTGATTTTACATAATCGTGATTGGTGATTTTATTGAGGGTTACAAAGCTCATGAGTGGAAGGGAATTGAAGTTTGATAGTTGATTAGAGAAAAAGGGGAATTTTGGAAATAGTGGAATCCCTGGGGAAAGATGGTACAGAGAGAAAGCCAGAAATCCCATAAAAATCTGAGGTGAAATTCACTGAATGATTTGCGCCCATTGCTAGAAATGTTTAGTTGCAGTTTTAACAGCTGATTCAGTTATTACCACCGTTTTCCTGTCGGCTATATATGCTAGATGCATCTTATTTGTAAATATATCACTAGCTAATTAGCGTGCTAGCTTAGCCTACACCCTACTCAAACAAGCGTTTCATTCTTATTTTTGAATATCACTAGCCGATTACTGTGCTAGTTTAACCTACACTCTTTATACTCTAATGGAATAAATATTAAATTCTTATTTGTGAATATTAACAGCCAATTAACATGCTAGCTTAGCCTACACCTTTTACACCGTAATGAAACAAGTGTTCAATTCTTATTTGTTAATATCACTAGCCGATTAGCGTGCTAGCTTAGCCTACACCTTTTACACCCTAACAGAATAAATATGATTTTTTTTGTGTGAATATGACAAGCTGATTAGCGTGCTAGCTTAGCCTACACCTTTTTACACCCTAATGGAACAAATATTCAATTCTTATTTGTGAATATGACTAGCCAATTAACGTGTTAACTTAGACTACACCCAAGAAACCCTAATGGATCAAATGTTCAATTCTTATTTCTGAATATCACTTAGCCGATTACTGTGCTAGCTTAACCTACACCCTTTATACTCTAATGGAATAAATATTCAATTCTTATTTGTGAACATTAATAGCTAATTAACATTCTAGCTTAGCCTACACCTTTTACACCGTAATGAAACAAGTGTTCAATTCTTATTTGTTAATATCACTAGCCGATTAGCGAGCTAGCTTAGTCTACACCTTTTACACCCTAATGAAACAAATATTCAATTCTTATTTGTGAATATGACTAGCCAATTAACGTGTTAGCTTAGCCTACACCCAAGAAACCCTAATGGATCAAATGTTCAATTCTTATTTCTGAATATCACTTAGACGATTGGCGTGCTAACTTAGCCTACACGTTTTATATCCTAATGGAACAAATATTCAATTCTTATTTGTGAATATGACTAGCCAATTAACGTGTTAGTTTAGCCTACACCTAAGAAACCGTAATGGAACAAATGTTCAATTCTTATTTCTGAATATCACTTAGCCGATTAGCTTGCTAGCTTATCCTACACCTTTTACACCCTAATGAACAAATATTCAATTCTGTTAAACTGCGGATGGTGTGTGAATAAGATTCAGGCAATAACAAACGCTCGATGGCGCAACTGTATAGTGAATTCCCTCAGAGGTTGTGGACCACCTTTTCGCTCATCAAACTTTCACCCATAAACAACACAGCCACTCAACTCTATTTATATGATCTACCGCACTGGCTCAAGATACCCAAACAACCTTATTCAAAGATAAAGGATAGTAATTTCCTTGTGGACACCCAATTTGAGGTTCCTAAACCAAAGTGCCAAAATCAAAAGATAAGAGCAAAGACTTAAATAACTTAAATCATTCCACAATAGATCCCAGATTTCCTGCCCAAACCCCCTTCGCTTTGAAATATGAATGTATTTAAGTAATTGCAGCTAACAAATGTATATTTCTGAGGGTATATATATATATGGGGTAAATTTTCATGTGGAAGTGAATGGATACTGGAGATGTTTTTGAGTATCTTCAATGATGGGGAAGAACTCACTCGGATCTGGACTGGAGTAATCCTCAAAGGAACCACGGTTCACTGATGTTCCTATAAAAGCAAGAGCAGTAACAAGAATATAAACTCTAGAATATAAGAATATAAAGTCTAGTTTCGGAGAGAACAGTCATTTGATGACCAGACAATGTAATAATAGAAATGAGAGGGAAAAAAACATGACAGAGTGGCCCTAAGAAGTATTCACTGGTCATACTTAAAGGGTTCATATGATGTTGCTAAAAAAAACATTATTTTCATGAATGTCATGTAGGAATGGAAATAGCAAAGAATTCTGATTTCTCTCTAATGATTCTGGTTTCTTGACGATGGCATTAAGGGGATATTTCACTCAAAGATCCAAACTTGTATGAATTTCTTTTCTTCTGTTAAGCACAAAAGAAGACAACAAACATTTGATGGTAGCCATTGACTTCCATAGTATTTTTTTTTCCATAATATAGAAGTCAATGGTTACTGTTACCAGCATTCTTCAAAATATCATCTTTTGTGTTCAGCAGAAAAAAGAAACTAATACAGGTTTAGAATAACTTGAGGTTGAGTAAATAATGACATTTGACAATGAAATCAGACTACACTTGCTATCTATTTCTGATTCGCTACAAAGAATCATCTCTTAAGAGTTACTCTGTCATTCATAAACAGTCTAAATATCATTTTCAGGGTCTTCTGTGTAACAGTAGGTTATATAAGAGAAAATAATGCACCAGTGCTGTTGCTACTAGCTGGGCTTCCAGAGACATTATCAGGAACTCCAGTGATATACAGTCCATTCTCTCCTGCATGACGGGATACTGTCCGCTTGCTAAAACACACACATTTACACCATCTTTAGTCTCTAACTTTATTACACTGGTACATTTTCCCTTTCCAAATAACCTCTTACTCATGTGTGCGTGACTGACCTTCCCGTAGCTTCGTGATAGGCCAGTTCTAGCAGCTCAGCAGAGGTACGAGCCGGGTCTCTCTGCTCACTAACCTGCAGCTCTGCCATGTTCTGTCGCGTCTGATGGTGGATCTGGATTGCCTCTCCAGAAGGACCTTGAACATCCACACAATATTATATAAAAATTATGTAGAGAACAGACTCTAGTTTAGCGGTCATTATGCAGTGCTGGGTAGATTAAGCTACTTACAAAATGTAGTCCGTTACTGATTGCAAATTACATGACAAAAATTGTGGTTAGTACCATAATCCATTACATTACACCTTTCAGGTAACATAATCTGACTACTTTTTGGTTACTTTTAGATTAATTTGGCCTAACTCATTTATCACATTGATTTAAATAGGATACTCTTGTACCATATTGATATAAAAATACTAAGAGAAAGAAAATATATTCCATTTGTTATTATTAACAAATGAATTGTAGTAAAACTTTATATTACGTCAAAGTTTCCCAAACTGGAGTTTGAGAAGGAACTGCAGGGAGTTAAATCATATTTAAAAAATAATATTTAAAAGATAATATTTAATTAAATCATAAAATTTTTTAATTAATAAATACATCTTTTTAAAATTACAACAATAAAAAAAAAAATATGAAAATTTACACTCGTTTTACCTGCATGTCATGTGAATAATATGTAATCATGTAATCAATAAAAAAGTAACTAGTCTGATTAAGAATATTTAAAAATGTAATATCATCTTTTGAAATATGATTATGCAGTTCAGATTACATGTAATTGGTTACTACCCAGCACTGTCATTATGCAAAATATTTGACCACAGAATGCAGACTGACGGATCAGAAGCATGCATTTCATGTGTATCACTTACCCACAGGAAATGTGTGCATCCAGCGGCGGCGGTTGGAGGTGAGTTTCATTGGCATGCGTGAGGGGGCGAACGGGTTGATGAGAGCCCTCTGGGGCGTGTAACCGCCCGGCCGTATGTGCAGAGTGGACTCAGCGCTTCCCACAGTGAAGCGGCCCGGAGCACTGGAGTCCCTCTGTGATTCTACCATCTTTTCTAGCAATTCTGCAACAATGAGACAGACGAGAAGCAGCAAACGTCAACCAGATGTTTCTGTCTACAGCAAAACACAGGTGCACTCTGTAGCGTCTGGACCAATCAGACACACCATTTTTCATTTGATTTAACAAATCAATTATTCATTGATGGATTCTGTACCTCTTGTGCAGCTGGTGTACCCCAGGGAGCTGCTGACCTCGTATTGGCCCTGAGCCGGGCGCGGGATGAGGAGGATGTTGGAGATGTGGCTCAAACTGTCATCTGATGCCAGGCTCCTCTGTTCTTCTGGTCCTGTAGGCCTGGTTGGGGGAGAGCTGCCCACTACACCTCCACCAACATCCGTTGAGCCCCAACTTTTCCTGCTGGCTGACTCCCTCTCCCGACTCGACCTGACACACATGATCAGAAGCTAAATGTAGTTTGAGCGACTGAATGGAGCTCAAGCGTAGTTCAGGCAGACCACGGCGTGACAGCCAGCCATCAGCTGACACTCAGCTGATCGTGACTCCTCCCACTATCAATTAAACAAGATATATAAGTTCATCTGCACTCACACTTGCCATAGTCTCGTAGATTCAACATACCTTCTGATGTTTATTCATGTGTCGCTTGAACTGAGGCACTAAATTTTTCTGTCACGCTACAATAAAGAGTGCTAAAACTGTATTTATTGTTTGAATTTCATTATAAAATTCACAGGATTTTAAAAAGTTGAGACTTTGTTTCATATCAAAAGTAACAAAGCACAAAGCTTATTGTGACTATTGGATGAGAGGGATGCTGCAAATAATTTTTAGTGAAGTTTTGTTCATATGTAAACTGAAAACAGCACAGACTAAAAGATTCATCAAAATAAATATCTATTTAAATCAAGAAATCAATATTGTCAACCCAGCCCTAGTGTCCATATGAAATGGAGACTGCCATACTGTCAAAATGCATATTATCAAAACACACACTAAATAAATGTCACCATTTCCTTCAATGATTTCGGCCCACCAAAAATGTATTCAATTAATTTTTAGCCAAATATTTTTGGTTAATTTTGGTGCATCACTAATCCTAACGTGAAGTGTCTTCCCATCCAGAAGCTCAAAGAAAGAAGATTTGTAACACTACAGTCACAATTTAAGTAATGGCTCACCCAAAAAATTTTAAATTATGACAGGATTTTTATTTGTTTAACGTACCTGAAGTTGGTGGACCTCTGGGATCTGGAAGGTCCAGGAAGCCTGAAGACCTGAGCATCGTACGCATCATAGTCCACCTGGATCGGAAGGCTGTTCTCAGCATCTTTTGGTGCACCAAGAGCTGAGAAAGACAAATCCAGCTCAAGTCAGATCACAGCAAACCCTTATATAAACTTGAACTAAAATATAAAACCTACTTACAATGTTCTTTGTTGCTTGTAGCTTTCTCAGCATGAGCCTTAAAATGAAAAGGCATCAGAGTGACAGCAGCTTCATTAGCAGTTTTACAAACATTAAGTTGTTCTCATAATAAAAATGTTACAAAGTCACAAGGTGTTGTAAGTTAAAGTGTAATATTTCTAACCTTTTTTCCAGCCAGCTTGATCCGTGGTGTAAAACAGCTGCATGAGTTCTGGCTCTTTGATGTGTAAAAGCTGTAGAATTCATATTTATTACAGTGAGCTCACCTGCATTAACCTATTAATGTTTTTTGTTTTTTTTAGGGCTGGCTGATATGGCCAAAAATATTATTACAATATTCATTTCATACCAATAATTGGGAAGGAAATGCATTCCACATGTTTGTTATACTTCAAAAATGCAAACATAACTTGCTTACAAGTAAACTCCATAGAGTAAGCACACACACACAAACACACACACACACACACATATATATATATATATATATATAATTAAAATCAGTTTATAAATATAACAATTAATTTACAGCAAAACACTGCATTTTTATTATTTGTCAAATAAGGTGCTGCACAAAGAATTTGTACACAGTATGAATCAAATGATATCTGTTAAAATAATAATAATAATAATAATAATAAAGTTTTAATAAATTGTATTATTATTATTGCTCTGAGAGGTATATTTTAATATACAAAAGTAATTTATTTATCTATAGTAAAACAGATGACAGACACAATGCTTATCTAGATGTAGGATAAATATCAGAAATTACTCAAAGGTTAATTAGCAGTATTGTGGATCTATTTTATTTATATAGCCCTATTTAATGCACAAAACAACTTGCTGGATAATTTATACTGCTTGTGCAATGAACATGAGTGATGTTGCATTATTTTTAGCAATCAATCTTTTGATAAAAGGACAAACCCATCCCTATATGACTGAGAATTAAGAGTGGGCTCTTCTAACTTGCTACCGACTGCTAGGTGGTTGCTAGGGTGTACTGGGCAGTTAGTACACCCTAGCAACCACCTAGCAGTCGGTAGCAATAACTCTCAAATTTCACCTGTGGTTGATCCAGTGAGGCAGGTTGTAGTCATCGCCAATTCTAGAGTCTCCGTGCACTGTACGGTTATGTAACTAATAAAATGATATAAAAAATAATAATTCACCCCCTTTAGAAGTATTAAAACATTCAGATCTTATTTCATGCTCAAATGCCAAACCTAATATGGTCTTTACCAACCTTGAAGAGTGGAACAGCGTGGAGGGGCTGCTCTCCCATGCATACCAGATCTACACCGATGCCTGTTAGGAAGATACCATTAGCGTCCAGCACACTGTGCTACAATACAAACAGTGAATGTACAGCACACTCACTGACCGTTGTCAATCATTCGCTGTTTGGTGAGGATCATGAGCAAGCGGTCCACTTCGAACACACCCACTCCTGGAGTAATGACCACTGACATCTGACCCGTACGATCAAAGTTACGGTTGATGTAGTGCTTATCAAAGACTGAAAGAGACAAAACAGGACACTGATATCAGGACAAACAGCTCTACTGAAGTGCTGTGGGACTATAGACCAAATACACAAATACAAACCATTGAAAGACAAGTTGATAGCTTCCAGATAATTTCCCTGAGCAGCAGTGGAATTGTTCCCGCACAGGAATTCATCTGCAATATTGAGACATTAACAAAATGTGTATGTCAATCTAAGACTCTCACACTTGCAATAATGGCATTTTCAAAAACTAAAACAAAAAAATTTACATTTTCTAAAGAATATTCTATTTTCAAAACACTACAATATGAAGTGTATATATATATATAAAACTTTCTGAAGGATTATGTGACACTGAAGACTAGTAATGACGCTGAAAAATCAGCTTTACATCACAGGAATAAATTAAATTTTAAAATATATTACAATAGAAAACAGTTATTTTAAAGGGGAGGTCTAATGCTATTTAATGCATTCTGACTTATTTACACTACTAAAGAGTTGGATTCTTATGCTAAACATGGCCAAAGTTTCAAAAAAGCAAGTTGGACGTATGATGGCGTATTTCTGTGCCAAATACACTCCTTCAGGGTTCAAATAAGTTTTAGAAAGTTTTTTGTTGAGTATGGCCCTGTATGACATCAAAAAGGGCGGGATTCCTTCTCCAGGAAGAGCGCGCGCACACATCAACCAGAGCGAGAGCATGAGCATCAACGTGCTTCATTCATTAACTCGCTAGCCATAGTAAATTTAAGTCAATAAAGTTTTGTTGCTGTTTTATTTATGTCGATGTCACAGCTGGCAGACGATCGTTCAGCAAAAGCTGCGCGTGCTCGTGACTCTTTAGCTCCGCCCACGACACGCCTCCAGGAGCTCTACTGTTTTCGGAGAGAAGCGGTACAGCTGTATCTGTCTTTTATAAATCTGATAAAACTAAAGGCTTATGAAGGAGATATGAAGGATGCAATACTACTCTATAGGTACTCAAGATTAACATGAGATTAGCAGAAACTGTGTTATGTCCCCTTTAATTGTAATAATATTTCACAATATAACTTTTTTTATCAAATAAATGCAGCCTTCTTTCAAAAAAATCTTATCATAGTTATCTTACAGAAGTGTGTATATATATGTAGCGTCTGGACCAATCAAACACACAATTTTTCATTTGATTTAACAAATCAGTTATTCATTAGATTAACAAATCGTCACAGTCCCCTCACCCAATAAACTGGATGCCAGGATGTCTGCAACGACACTGAGCAGCAGTGGAATTGTTCCCGCACAGGAATTCATCTGCAATATTGAGACATTAACAAAATGTGTATGTCAATCTAAGACTCTCACACTTGCAATAATGGCATTTTCAAAAACTAAAACAAAAAAATTTACATTTTCTAAAGAATATTCTATTTTCAAAACACTACAATATGAAGTGTATATATATATATAAAACTTTCTGAAGGATTATGTGACACTGAAGACTAGTAATGACGCTGAAAAATCAGCTTTACATCACAGGAATAAATTAAATTTTAAAATATATTACAATAGAAAACAGTTATTTTAAAGGGGAGGTCTAATGCTATTTAATGCATTCTGACTTATTTACACTACTAAAGAGTTGGATTCTTATGCTAAACATGGCCAAAGTTTCAAAAAAGCAAGTTGGACGTATGATGGCGTATTTCTGTGCCAAATACACTCCTTCAGGGTTCAAATAAGTTTTAGAAAGTTTTTTGTTGAGTATGGCCCTGTATGACATCAAAAAGGGCGGGATTCCTTCTCCAGGAAGAGCGCGCGCACACATCAACCAGAGCGAGAGCATGAGCATCAACGTGCTTCATTCATTAACTCGCTAGCCATAGTAAATTTAAGTCAATAAAGTTTTGTTGCTGTTTTATTTATGTCGATGTCACAGCTGGCAGACGATCGTTCAGCAAAAGCTGCGCGTGCTCGTGACTCTTTAGCTCCGCCCACGACACGCCTCCAGGAGCTCTACTGTTTTCGGAGAGAAGCGGTACAGCTGTATCTGTCTTTTATAAATCTGATAAAACTAAAGGCTTATGAAGGAGATATGAAGGATGCAATACTACTCTATAGGTACTCAAGATTAACATGAGATTAGCAGAAACTGTGTTATGTCCCCTTTAATTGTAATAATATTTCACAATATAACTTTTTTTATCAAATAAATGCAGCCTTCTTTCAAAAAAATCTTATCATAGTTATCTTACAGAAGTGTGTATATATATGTAGCGTCTGGACCAATCAAACACACAATTTTTCATTTGATTTAACAAATCACACAAAACTGCATACGCACCTGCTCCTTTAAGACGCACCAGCACAGGATACTGTATGAAGAGCTTTTTAATAGTGATAAGCAGAGACATCCACTCATCACGCCTTTCATTCTGGGCCACCACCCTGCAAGAGAATGAAAATAAGGACTGCTGCTTAAACCAGTACTAAGCTGCCAGTCTTAATGCTTAGTGAACTTCTGGACCTGTAGAAATCCTCATAATAACATCCCTCATGGTCTTGTCGAACTGACGCTCTTTGGATCTCTGGGAACTCTTCTACATGACGAAAGACACATACTAATAATTATTATTATTCAAATCATACAACCCAAGCATTATTTTATCTCATTTTAAATATGAAACATTTACCCAGTGATTTGGCAGAGTAGAAGGTACGAGAGAACAGCACCACTGTAACCTCATGGCTGCAATTCTTCTCCTAGAAAAGTGGCTACATTTTAACAAAGACAATCCCACAATGCCAAAGAACATAATCATATTCAGCTATATCGTGCAGATAACGTTACAATTGGTCAATGATAAGGTTAACACTCACTTTCCATTTGGCAAACAGATCCGAAAGGAAACCATTGACAGCTTTCTCAAAGTAAAGATCACCTGTGAATGAAGTCAGCAGCTGAAATCACCTGAAATAACAGATTTACTCTTCAAATATAGATAATGATTTAAAAAAGTTTTTAAATTGTCTCTTTACCATAGATATCAAAGTCCCACATCTCACAGCTCATCTGAATGAATATATAAACCATCGCAGAGGTGGAGCGAAACAACACCTAGGTGGAGAAAACATGTGAAAAAATTTATAGTGATGGATAGTAAAACAAATTGAATTTCCAAAGAGAAATTCTCACCCTTGTATCTTTACTAATGTAGCCACAAGTGACCTTCTCTCCTTTTACCCACAATTCACTGGCCTGGGCCCTGAAACCATGATAAAACAATTTTTTTGGTTAGACATACACTACTGTTGAAAAGTTTGGGTTCGGTAAGATTTGTAAATGCTTTCTCTTATGCTCACCAAGACTGCCTTTATTTGATTTAAAAAGTACAGTAAAAACAGTAAAAATATCATTACAATTTAAAATAACTGTTTTCTATTTGAATATTTTTTAAAGTGTAATTTATTCCTGTGATGTAAAGCTGAATTTTCAGCATCATTACTACAGTCTTCAGTGTCACATGATCCTTCAGAAATCATTCCGATATGCTGATTTGAAGAAACATTTCTTATTATAAGTGTTGAAAACAGTTGTGCTGCTTCATATTTTTGTAGAAACTGATAGAACAGCATTTACTTTAAATATTTTAAAACATTTTAACATTTTTTAATGTCTTTACTGTCACTTTTGATCAATTTAAAGCATCCTTGCTGAATAAAAGTATTAATTTCATTCAAAAATATGAAAAAAAAAACTGACCAAAACCTTTGATATAGGTCATTATACACATACTTCTGACTGTAAAATACTTAAACTGACCAATCAGAATCAAGTATTCCAGACAGCCTGTAATAATGGATGTTGTTACCTGATCCCTGCAAACTCTACTTTCTGTGTCACATACGCACACGTGCTCACCTGAAAGAACATCATGGAGACATAAAGATCATTGCAAGGCATCAAAAATGAACATCCCATGCAGATTTGAATCTAATCTACTCACTAAGCTCTTCTTCAGTCTCCACATGTCTCCTCGTCCAATATACTGATCTTTAAAGGTGAGCTCCACCAGATCCAAAGTCACATCCTGTTAAATTTCAATGGAGAATTTAGGTAATGAGGTACGAGAGGCTGTGCTATATTGTGAATATGGTGTGTAAATTAAATAGTAGGACTAGCAATAAACAGTATTTCTGTATAAAATACCTTTGGGTCCACAATATTGATGATGACGTCCTGGTAGGCACGAAGCTTGAAGGCCTGAGCCACTGTCTGATCTACACTGATAGTTTCTGTTAACGGAAAAAGAGAAAATTCACACAGAGATATAGCCGATTAATAGTTACTAGTACAGAAAATGAAGCGCTAATTTAAACTCACCTTTCTGCAGGTCTTCTTTCAAACTCTTGACCTGCAGCAGCAGAGGACTAAGACAAAGACATTGTAAACATACAAATATTATCAATGCATATATAAATATACACTTCATTTTACTTACAGTGTACTTACCCAATAAAGTATTGGGTATTACAAGGTAACTACATGGGTCAAGGATAGGTTTAGGGGTAGGTTCAGGGTTAGTACCTAGCTATTACCCAGTTATTATAATTGTTATAAAAAGCACATAGTATGTACATGTACATGCAGAACAGGACTGTAAAATAAAGTGCTACCAATATGCCAGGCAATATACAATAATGTATAATATACAAAACAACAGTGTTGTTTTATTAATATTAATAACAAAACCAGTCTTAAGTCGCTGGGGTATATTTTTAGCAATAGCCAAAATAACATTGTATGGGTCAATATTATTGATTTTTCTTTTATGCCAAAAAATCATTAGGATATTAAGTAAAGATCATGTTCCATGAAGATATTTTGTAAATTTCCTATCGTAAATATATCAAAACGTATTTTTTTTATTAGTAATATGCATTGCTAAGAACTTAATTTGGACAACTTTAAAGGCGATTTTCTCAGTATTTAGATTTGTTTGCACCCTCAGATTCCAGATTTTAAAATAGTTGTATCTCGGCCAAATATTTATTCATCTTTCAGATGATGTATAAATTTAAAATCTTTCAAAAAATGTACCCTTATGACTGGTTTTGTGGTCCAGGGTCACATATTTTGAATTAGTTTTTATTTTGACATTTTGTTTTCTTTATTATTTTAGTTAAGGTTTTAGTAATTTTGTTGTATGTTTTTGTCATTTTTATTAGTTTTTCTTTTTAAATATGTAGTTTATGTAGTATATACAGTTTGCATTAAGTTTTATTTTGGTTTTAGATTTAGTTAAAAAACATTCAAATTCAAATTCAAATTGTTAAAGGGGTCATATGATGCTATTTTAAAGATCATTATTTTGTGTATTTGGTGTAACAGAATATGTTGACGCTTTAATGTTCAAAAAACACATTATTTTTCAAATACTGTACATTATTGTAGGTGCTCTATGCCCCGCCTCTCTCAAACACGTCGTTTTCAACAAAGCCCCCTCCTTTGACAAGCATAGTCTGCTCTGATTGGCCAGCTGACCCAGTGCATTGTGATTGGCCGAACACTGCAAGCACGCGTCGGAAATGTAACGCCCCTTACCATAATCGCAGCTTCAGCTTTCAAAGTAAATATCAAGACAGTTAATAATGTCGTTAGTTTTACCATCAGCTCAAGCCGAAAGGGCAACAGAGTCGTGTGACAGACACCTCCAAAGAGAAGGGAAAACTTGAAATCGCATCATATGACCCCTTTAAATAAGTTGATTTTATTTAAATATTTTATTACAAGTATATGAATATCCATATATATATATATACACACACACACACACACGTTTTAAAACATTTCATGTTAGATTGTGATGTAACATTTTTATTTTATTAAATCATGATTTTTATAGGATGAAATGTGACATATCTGCACACATATTTTTGAGATTGACCTGAAATTATATTAATATTATTTTTTAATATGTAGTTCATGTTGTCTATATAGTTTTTATATATTTTTTTGTTTTAGGTTTCATTAGAAAATGAAAATAAAAATGGTTAATAAGTTATTATAATTTATTATAATAAATACATATATAATATCTAACTATTGTGTAAATTATGAAATATATTTTATTTCAAGTATATACACACACACACACATATATATATATATATATATATATATATAAATCTCCTCTCACCTGTACTCATCATTTGGATGTGCAATCTCAACAATATCCCCCAGTTTAACCTGAGGAAAGACTTTAGGGTTCATCATCAACTCATCATCTGTGGAGAAAGAGTGAGTGTTGAGATGCGCGCAAAGTGCCAGTGTCATAAACTAAAACTACTTCAGTTTTTAAACGTTAAGAACATTCTCACCGCTCCCTCCAAAGCCCTTCTTGTGCACCACAAGTTTGTAGGACTTGTTTGCCTTCATGGTAACAGTCATTGTAGTCGTGATGAAGTACAGACAGTCACATTCACATTTACAAACAGAAACAATACAATAATATGGATTACTTGTGGATTGTCGTGATGTTTTTATCAGCTGTTTGGACTCTCATTCTGACGGCACCCATTCACTGCAGAGGATCCATTGGTGAACAAGTGATGTAATGCTACATTTCTCCAAATCTGTTCCAATGAAGAATCAAACCCTTAACACATCAACATCTTTAATGGCCTGAGGGCAAGTACATTTTCAGCAAATGTTAATTTTTGGGTGAACTGTTCCTTTAAATGAGAACCTGTATTTTACCTTGAGCTCCTCTGTAATATGCTGATGCGATGCATTTGAACTTTTCCTGACCAGCAGTGTCCCATCTGCAAATATTGTAATGTGCAAAAAAACAAATATAAAAGACATGAAAATTTCAAATGAACAGACGTTATTTAAATCATTCAGAAAATAACTACTCACATTTGAAGAGAAAAGGGCAGCCCAGACATCTCAAATCTCTCAATCTCAAAGTCAACACCTATAGTAGCCTTGTAGTCTCTCTCAAACACGTCTTTACAGAACCTATGACATACAAGCAAATAATGGAACTTAATGTCCATGAAAAATACATGTATCATTTAAATTAAGGTACATTAATGTATACATTTTACCTGTTTATTAAGCATGTCTTTCCCACATTGAGATCTCCAACCACTACTGCTTTCGACATCTTAAGCCTGTCATACCTAGAAAATAATATATGAAAATAATTATATAATAAATGGACTCTCTCTCTCTCATTTACATTTAGTCATTTAGCAGACGCTTTTATCCAAAGCGACTTACGAATGAGGACAAAGCAAGCAATCAATCTCCTTATGTATATATATATAATAATATAATATATATACGGAATTATTCCAAACTTTTGATGGTAATGTATATCAATCAACATAACAATGCATCAATCAGTTTTATATTTTTTATATATGTTTAATATACATATATATCATTCTTTAGAAACATTTGGCGGTGGGTTTGGGGGGGGGGGGGGTACCAACCCTTGCTGACGTGCTGCCCGGTCTTGGCAAGCCATCGTGGCTTTTGTATTCCAATCATCCTTCATCTGTAGACAGGCTTGTGGATTATAACACTACAGAACAATAAAACAGAACTAATAAATGGAGATTCTTACCATAAACAGAAATACCAGATACTTTTGGCAATAAAGTGAATAAGAACAGTAGTTTTGTCTAGTTGTTGAAATGCTGTCTGTTCCAACAATTTCCATTTAGGAATCATTCACAATAAGGCCAGGAATGTGCATTAAGAAAGTAAATAGGGTACATGTGCCCTTAATATGACCCCACTACTGAGAAAACTACAGGAAGCAGCTGTGGGAAGCCTTTTTATTTGAGCAGAATTAGCTGCACTAAGGCTCCTCTATGGATGTCACACATTCTCAATATACTAACCTGATGTGTTCGCTACAGTATACAGAATGCTTCCTGAATTTCCTGTAGTACCACTTGCAATATGAATAATACATTTTCAAATACAGAATGACCTATTCCATTACAGCGCCTGTAAATAATTAACATAATGTGATGTTAGAGAGTGTACCTTTGGAAATGTCGATATGATCCTGTCCCTGCTGATAGGAGGGCTGAAATGCATTGTCTTGTCAGCAGGTTGTAAAGGGAAACTCGGCTGTGAAAGACACACTATCAGCACTACCATATAACCTGTTTACTCTGTACATTTACATCAACCTGAACTACTTTGTATAGTGTATACTAAACATAGTAATATATCCAGCAAAGCCATAATAACTTTATTATGGCTTAGCTGGATATAACTTATATATACATGCTAGTTATCTTTTGGTAGAATCATTTACTTCACACAGAAGACTGTAGAAAATATTTATGGTTAAAAAAGTGAATTCCTCTATAAACACTAAATAAACAGAGCTGCATTTTTTGTACGGGAATGGCAACACAACATAGCGCTGTAACGGCGCAGTTAGTATTTTATCATTTTAAAAATCCTTTAGAAACACTGATAATCGTCGTTTTAGCTCATTAAGACCTGCTGAGACTGTATAAATTGAGTAGTTGTCGTGTACTCACGGATATTCCTGTAGCGCAGTTTGATTCCTGCCGACTGCGTACTGACTCTCCGCATCAAATCCTACCGTCATCGCCATAGCAACCACGAGCCGGAACCCGCAGTCACGTGGTGCAAGAGATACACCGCGCGATCTTTCATGGCTGCTGTTATGGCAACCTGCATACATTTTCATCATAAATCCTGAAACTTGTAATAGACGCACTGAAGTTATGTCAAACGTATTTTGACATTTAAAAAATGTTTCGTTTTCCCCTTAAAACATAAAACGACGCGATGTATTCCACTTTGTGTGGGAGAAATTACACCTTGGAAACCAACAACAATACATTAAAAATACTAAAAAAACATGTCAGTTTGAGTGCGTGACTGTGGGTGTGTCACAAACGTGTCAAATGCATGTTGTGTAATATTTGTGGGTCCAGGTGAAGTACTACGTGTTAAAGTGATATCTGGTGTGATATTTGAGAACAGCCTGCTGATTGAGATGATAGACACTGAGGAAGTCTTCCCCCCAAAAAATTATTAGAAATGGCCGAACTGTCTAATGATTACAAATTACATTCCGCAAACTGTAACGTAATCTATTAGATTACACATTTTACGTAATGTAATCGGACCACTTTTTGATTACTTTTAGATGGCTTTTGACCTAACTTATTTACCACACAAATTTCAATAGGAATGTTGTACCCAGTTCATATAAAAATACAGAGAAAGAAAATATATTCTATTCTTTATTATCAACAACATGAAGTGAATTAAATGTCAGGGTTTGCCAAACTGGGGTTTGTGAAGGAATAACAGGAGGTTTGTGAGCTGATGAAAAGCTAATTAAGCAGGCTAAATCATTAAAAAAAAAAAATTAAACCTAAAGAAAAAATAAAACACTTTTAAAATGAAAACAAGCTTTCACACTAAAAATTGAAATATTTTGCCAAAAACATATTCATCACTGCAACGGTGATTCAATCCTAAAAAGTATTTGCTTATTTAAATTCAGACCAAAACTTGTTTTTAGTTACTGGTAGTGGCGCATTAGCCTGAATGACCGCAGGGTGGCAGCACATCCCCCTCAACGGCTTTTGGTAAGCGAGAGTGCTGTGTCACGCCAAGCAAGTTAGATTGTGCTCCTCACGCATGGTGCTTCAGAGATGATTTTCACCTGAAGAGATTTTCCTTAGCAACACCTAACTTTTCACATGTCATTTTAAAATAAGAATCATTTTTAAAACAACAGATTTTTACAAATCTAGATGAGCTGCATCAGTGTCAGCAGGCCCTTTTAATGGGCACTAAAGGCCAAAGGTGACTAGGTTGAATCGCTCAGTCTGGCCTTGGGTCTTATTCCATTTCACATTCATCAATAATGATGGACAGTTTTGTAGTGTATGAAGCTACATTGATTCATTACTAATTGATCCTATCTGTGTCCTGGCTGTGATAGGCTATGTGTTATGATGTATTTTCAGAAAAGGGTTTGGTTTGATGCTGGCATCATCAACATCAAAGTGTTCGATGAACTAAACTAAAGTGTACAGTTGACCACTTTGACAAATGAAATTAAAGGAGAATGCAGGCTGTGCATGAACTTGTTTACATGTTTGTTGAAGAGACAAATGAACAAACAAATGGCACCAAATATAGTGGTGTAATAATTCCTGCATCTGGCAGGTTCAGTGGAGTAAAAAAAAAGATAATCAGATGTCTCGAAGATTTTAACGACACCCTTGTGTGTTTCTTTAAGGACTCACATGCGACATTGCAGAATTAGAGACAGGAATTATCTGTTTTTCTCTCACACCCTTTTATACAAGTGGTAAACAAATGTGAGAGAATATTTTGTTGCTGTCTTTATTAAATTAATTACACATATCAATATTTTGTGTGATTACTCTATTATGAATAATAGTGACCTACACTAAAATTCTGAAGAAAATTAATTCAAACAGATCAATCTCATGAAACATGTCAAGAACACACTTTTTTACTGTATCTCAATAAAAAATAAGGCCAATAAAATTTTAATCAGCCTAAATTAAAAAATAGCAACCCAATTAGCATGATTTGTAAATACGACTGAAATCAACTAAAAATAAAAAATATATATAATTTACTATAAACTATATATACTATACAATAAATTTTATGTGTGTGTGTGTGTGTGTGTGAAATATAAATGTATCAAAAATAAAAAAACGCTTATTTATTAATATTTTTTTTACGATTTAAAAATATAATAAATAATTAAATTAAAATATTTACTTTTTAAAGTAATTATATAAATATATTTTTATGTTTATGCTTTATGTCATTCATATTTATACACAATGCTAGCTGGATTGCTGTGCCATCTTCGTTTAGGCTGATTTGGGTTAATTTGATTGGCTTTATCTTTTTTTTTTTTTTTTTTTCACTGCTCGCGCTACTCACGCACGCGATCAGCCGAACCGACTGATGTTTATATGAATTTACAATAAATATCTCAATATATACTGAAACTCTGCAATGCTCTTGAGAATTACCAGCTTGTATATATCTATAAAATGTATCCGCTGGAGCTGCACGAATGGCATAAAATGGCACTAATTTTGCCAAGTTTTGTCGAAAGGCGATTACTTTTAACTGATAGCCTATTAATTGTAGATAATTTATAATTGTGTTATTATTTATTAATTATTAAAGGTAAAAATGCTTTTTGGTTTGTTTGTTTTGGTGTTTTTTATTTATTTATTTGTTTTTATCCACTTGCCCTAAAAAATGAAAGGGGCACTGGTGATGACTTTTAATAAATTAAATAAATAAATAACAACATATGACCCCTTCAGACTGTTTATAAGGATTTACAATAAATATCTCAATAAATATTAAAACTCTTCAGCGGTCATGAGAAGTTAATACTTTATTAATAAAATACTTTATTTATTAAAAAAAATTATAAATAAAAAAAGGTCCTCCTCATCATTCGGACCAAATAAAACGTCCATGTTGTTGCACAAATGGCGTAAAATGACACATTGTGGAGATTGACAAATTTTGTCAAAAGGCGACGAGTTTTCACAACTGATAATCATGTTTTTAATAATTATTAATTATTAAATGTATTCATTATAAAATTAAATACAAACACTTTTTTGTTTGTTTGAAACCATCCTGTATTCTCAATTCATTCTTAATCAAAGCAGATTTGTAAATACTCATATACATTTTTATCTGACAGTGTAGATACATAATGAGTTGTACAGTGTGGTCAGGAAAAACACTAGTGATAAAATGGAGGAGGTGGCACCCACACATGATAGAATAGCTCTGAATATCTTGAACAGATTAATTCAAAATGCTTCCTTGGTACACAAACCTTTATTTTGTCAGTTTTGTAGGCTGTTTTGTCCTGGTACTCTAGAATTAGTGGCGTGATAAACAATAGGCTGTGCTAGTACTGACAACAATAAAGGGTCATCCAGGGTTTGGCCACTAATTGGTCCATTATGCGAGATCATTCCAGCCTCTATTTCTCCCTCATCTTCTCTTCCGTCCATCTCTCACTCTCTCAGTTCTTTTTACTACAAACCCTCTGCAGACATAAATCAGTTGAAGAATAATTTAATTGCACATTTAATTAGCATGTTGATTGCCATGGTGCAATGCACCATAAATAAAATCAGCGTTGAGCTTCTACTGTTGCTGGAGTGGACTGAATTGAAACAGACTGAGAAGACATTTCCTAGAATCTGATGTCCAGGGACAATTAGGCAGGAAGAAACGATTTCCTCATGGATTACATGCAATGCATCAGCCTGCGGCATATGCCATTGAATTAGAGTGACAGCATTCAATATATGCGTGCAAATGATTTATCATGGAGACAATGTATATGGCCACTCACTACAGTGACCTTAGCTGTTCCAAGTTATTGCTGTTAACATTTAATGTGGCTAATAATGCTTTGAAAACATGCATATATTGAAATGTGTATCGGTGACCATATTTATGTTGTCTTGCATTAGAGGTCTATGCTGGAAGCAAATAATACCAGAGAATATTTTCAAGTTCAGACACTGCACCTATACCATACTTTTTTTTTAATGCTGTTACTGTAAAGTACAGTCAAAAATGTTTTATGAATCACATCAGTTATTACTATTACTGTACATAACTATCAAATAATTATGGGAGCATTCTTAAATGGTGTATTTCAACCAGCAGTATTCAACTATTCATATAGTAATGAATTTTAAACACAAATCAAAAGAAAACAAATAAGAAAATGAAGCCTGTTTTTAGGGCCATTAATGCTTTTGCATTATGACTATATTTACATAATTAAACATATTTGCCCCAGTTCCCATCACTGTATTGTATCTAGAACATTAGATTATTATTATTTTTACATTGAATTAGAGTGACAGCATTCAATATATGCGTGCAAATGATTTATCATGGAGACAATGTATATGGCCACTCACTACAGTGAACTTAGCTGTTCCAAGTTATTGCTGTTAACATTTAATGTGGCTAATAATGCTTTGAAAACATGCATATATTGAAATGTGTATTGGTGACCATATTTATGTTGTCTTGCATTAGAGGTCTATGCTGGAAGCAAATAATACCAGAGAATATTTTCAAGTTCAGACACTGCACCTATACCATACTTTTTTTTTAATGCTGTTACTCTAAAGGTCTATGCTGGAAGCAAATAATACCAGAGAATATTTTCAAGTTCAGACACTGCACCTATACCATACTTTTTTTTTAATGCTGTTACTGTAAAGTACAGTCAAAAATGTTTTATGAATCACATCAGTTATTACTATTACTGTACATAACTATCAAATAATTATGGGAGCATTCTTAAATGGTGTATTTCAACCAGCAGTATTCAACTATTCATATAGTAATGAATTTTAAACACAAATCAAAAGAAAACAAATAAGAAAATGAAGCCTGTTTTTAGGGCCATTAATGCTTTTGCATTATGACTATATTTACATAATTAAACATATTTGCCCCAGTTCCCATCACTGTATTGTATCTAGAACATTAGATTATTA